GGGGGGGGGCAAAAACTAAGGAAAGCCAAACCGAAGATGCCAAGCTAGTTCATAGATGTCCACAGTGAATTGGGCTCAGCACTAAAGTGACACTAACATTACCATCTTATATAACCACAAAAATATTTTTTAAATAATCTAAATGTTCAAATTAAATTTGACAGCTTTGCTTTCAACAAGTGTTAAAAGAGAATAATCCGTTATACAAAATTTTTAAATAAAATTGTGTTACATAAACCAATTTATACAATATAATATATAATATACATAATTATATAATATGTATATAATATGCACATATGTATGCATATTTATATAAAATGTATATAATATATAATATGTATAATATACAGCATAATAAGTCTGTAATATAGTACTCATTTTTAATATAATCATCTTTTTCAAGACCCTGCCCTAATGTCTTCTCATTGAGACACCTTAACTTACTACTTAAAATTTCAAATTGACCCATGGGAACCAGCAGTTAGCGTAATGGCTATGTTGCTGGACTCCCACGTAGTCAACCGCGGTTCCCGTCCAGTACCCGGTGGCTTAGAACTCACGCCGGGCACGTGTGCGTGCGTGCCCAAGATCCCGAGAGGAGAATGGAGGAGAAGAGATTGCGGTGTGACCATCCCTCCTGGGGGGTGATTTCTCGCTTTCTGTCTCTATGTCTCTCTCTCTGTCTGTCTGGCGAGCGCACGTGCCTTATCGAAAACCTCTCCAAAAAAATAAAAAAAATTTCAAATCGACCCTATTTTAGCATTTAAAATCCTTTTTACCATATTGCTTTGGTCTAAAGTTTTCACAAATTCTTGTGTTGAAACTTGATTCCTTTGTGGTGTTAAGAGGTAGGGTCTTTGGGGAAGTGATTAAGTCATGACAGCAGTACCTTATCAAAGGGCTGGAAGGAAGTAGCCAAGTCCTCTTTTTGCCCCTATATCTTCCACCATGTGAGGACATAGTGTTCACTCCCGTCGCGTGAGGAAGCAGCAAAAAGGTCCTACCCAGGCTCCAAATGCTGATGACTTGATCTTGTAATTCTCACCCTCCAGAACGGTGAAAAATAAATTTTTATTGTTTAAAAATTACCCAGTCTGTGGTCATTTGTTATATAGCATTGCAACTGAAACAAGACACCCATTTATTTTGTTTTTGCTATAGCCTTTACCACCTTCTAATATATAACAAAATGTATCGATCGATACTGTTGTATATTTATTGTTTGACCCCAACCGCTAGACTATAAACTCCAGGAGAGCAGGGATCTTGTGTGTTTTGCTCAAGATTATATCCCTATGTCTAGAACTAGACTTAGACTTTTCAGATACTAAGTCTCAACATTAAATTTGTAAATAGATTTACATAGAATTTATTTATAATGACTATAAAGTCTTTGAAAGACTGTTAGCCAATATATTGATGGGGTCGATTTACAGATGTTTTTAAATCTCTTAATAATGTTCTCTTTTTTATACATTTTAACACTAATATTTACAATCAGAAAATAGTACTTTGAAATGGCTATTTGTGTATTTATTATCAAAAAGATATTGCTAATGGAATTTATATGTAACTTACATATAAATTATTCCATATAACAGCCTCTAAGTCCTTTTCAGACTTCTATGAACCTCCTCACTATCTCACTTATTCATCATTTATTCCAGTCAACAGTGATTTCAACTAGTCTTGATTTTTTTCTCTAACATCCCTATGTTAGACTTAAAATAGTTTCTCTTGACATATCCCTCTAACAGTTCATTGTTCCTTTTAATACAAAACTGTCTTTTTCTTCTTCCCATCTCCTCCTCTCCATCTTACCCATGCTATATACATCCTCATACTTTCAAGCCCTTATTTGTTTTACATATTTTATAGCCTGCCTTCATAAAATACTGACTTCTTACGTCCTTACTCAAAGAGGAATCAATGTTTTATTTACATGTGTGTATCTATTGTCTAACATAACTGAGTAGCATTAACAATATAATTATAAAAATTCAGAAATTAGGGATAATAACTTCAAGTATAGCCTCCCTGATATTATTTTCCTATTTTTCTTTAAGTTTATGTATTTCTTCCATGAGAGATAAAGACAGAGAAAGAG